ACTCTTTCCTGCCAATGCAGGGGGTCGGACTCAATGATCTATTGAGGTCTCTTCCGACCCTAACATCTATGAATCTATGAATCTAAGGTGACTGGCTAAGCGGGTTGTCGGAGGCAGTGCAGCAGTCTGACTGGATAAAAAGGCAGTGAAGACCAGGCCCTGACGACGTCCTATGCCATCCACATCAACCCGGAAGAAAATTACTGGCGTCCCTCCCATAAGATCGTCATGTCCAGAGGCATCATGACTGGCCATCGTGACTGAACCTGAGCACCTGTGGATTAGCCTGTGTGTATGTGTGTGAGTATGAATGGTTTTAGAGGAAGCACTGCTTTTCCCCACTTGATCTGTGTGTGTCACTCAGTAAAGATCTTGGTGGCTGAACCCGTACATTGGTCTTTCGTCCAACAATAGGATTAAAGATACCCAAGTTTTCAGATTCATTAACTCTTAATGCAACCAGATCAACACCTGATTTTGACCAGAACGCTGGAAAAAAATCTCTCTGACCCATGAATGAACTTGTTATTAAATTAAAATGTTCTGATCTTGCCCACCGCAGTGACCAAACGGTTAAAGGCAGGAGAATGATATTAGCAAAATCAAATTGTTTTCATTGTATTACTTTTGCCAAGTCTTGGGCAGAGCCAGGCCTGGAAGGCCTCAGCCCAAAAGATCATCGAATAGGAAGGTTGGAAGTGACCTCAGGAGCTCATCTAGTCTAGTCCAACCCCCTCCCCAAGGCAGAATCATCCCTGTCTGAACCATTGCAGTCAGGTGTCTAGCCCAATTTTAAAAAATGCCCAGGTATAAAACGTGACCTAGTTATGAATAACTAGGTTAGAGACCACTAGGCAAAATTTACTCTACTTCTTGCTAGCATGCCTGGTACAGTAAGATGCAGGTCATTATAAAGCAAATAGTGTTGAGACTGTTTGAACTGCGAGGCTAAAAACATGTTATTTTGATGGGCCACAATATTCCAAGTGACTTACAAACTCTCTCTCTGCTTTAGGGTACTCGTCAATAAATTGGGTTCCAATGGAGCTAAGCACCTGTGGACTGCACTGGAGACGAACAGGAGCTTGAAGATACTTCACTTGTACGATAACAGCATCAAAGATGAAGGTGTAGAAAATCTGGCTCAAAGCTTATGGAAGAACTGCTCTCTCCAGTTGTTAAAGTAAGTTAGTCAAACTGAGACTTTGCATAAAAATAATTAGGCTTGTAGAAATAGTATTGTATAACTGATGGGGCCAGAAACAACTCAATAAAAGAGGCTGAACAAGAAGTAGTAAATCACAAAAAGTGACATCATTCCAACAAATAAATGGAATAATTTTTAAGAAAACATTCAAGAAAATGCCTGGTTCAGAAATTAGGCAAATTGTATGAGTAATTAATTCAAAATTATGAGCTCAGCACTAGTCAGAAACCTTCTTAGTAGGGCTGTGCGTAACAGCACCATTTCATTTCGACTTCCGTTTCACCGTTTCAAAGGGACAGCATTTCATTTTGCTGTTTCGCAGCACTGTCCCATTTTGTTTCACCAAAACTGTTTTGCTGTTTCGATGCTTTTCAACGTTTCACCCATAGACTAATGGGGAATCACGAAAATGCCTATGACTTTGTCATTTCTTGCCTGATCCAGGTGAAAATTGCAGGGATGGTAGCCCCTTTTGAGGGCATGAAGCCTGCCAAGCTTCAGGGAGGTAGGTGCAGGGGTTTTTGTGAAACTGCACCTGAAACTGTTCAAAGCAAAACTAGTGTAACTTCCCTGCAGCGGCAGCCTGCTGTCATCCCGCGTGCCGATCCAGGGGCCCGCACCCCCCAGGAGGAGTCTGGCACCGCCCCGCAGCCCTCCCAGGCGGTGCGGGTCCCCGGATCTGCATGCGGGATGACAGCAGGCTGCC